TCTCAGAGGGGCTGTTTTTTTTTTTTTTTTTTTTTTTTTTTTTTTTTTTTTTTTTTTTTTTTCAGTGTTCTGCACACCCTGACAGATAACAGCAAGACAGGATCTGAGGGCACAAACTGATTCTGCTCCTGGGACTCAGGCTGCTGTCACACTGTGTGCCTGTTGACAGAAGAGGGCCAGGTGACAGATAAAGTCAGTTTATCATTGCAAATCTCCCCACTGTATTTCCATACCCGATGCTGCTTTTTATTGTTGACCATTTGAAGAGAGCCCCCTTCAGAGATCACACAGCATCAAGTCTGAGGCCCATTTTCTAGGAAAAGGTTCAGGCCAGGGGGTGTCTTGATCTCTTCAGGCAAAAGAAAAGAGTGACCTCAATGGACTGCTAATTTCAAGGTCGTTTTCAGATCTGTCATTTTAGAAGTTGCTCACCATCCTTGAGAGTTTTCACAACCAACTGTTTTTTTTTTTCCTTTAAAACTAAATACATTGAAATAAACCTGAAAAGTTTTCCTATAACTCAGGGAGGAAAGCATCCCAAATATTCATGGCAAAGCACAAGGAAGAGCTCTTTTAATCCTCATCAAGCTAAGTGAGCCTGTGGTAAGATCAACCTTCTGGAGATGTCCCCTATTTAGGTTATTGTAGAAAGTATGAAGATTTTTGTGCTTGGGGGTAATTTCTCCTGTGTTGCTATAAGCGTCTTATAATTTTGTAGAAACAGGTAATTATATGACAGGAAGAAACGCCATAATAACTAAGTATTGAGCAAGACCAAACTTGGTCCCGTGAAGAACAATTCAACAAATGTAAGAGCAGGATAGCTCTTGCCATGCGTTTCTCTGGTGTACAAACTGTATATAAGACCACGTAAGTGTGCTTAGCTCGCTAATGGCAAGGTGTCCTCTGCGACCTGTGGAAAGCGGGTCGGAATAAGCAGCATTCTCAGAGGGAGTAATGGAAGCTGACATCACCTTTTAGGTATCTCCTAAAAGTATCTCCTAAAAATGTATCTCCATGCCATTTTAATTCTGATTTATGACACTTCCATTAATTATTACTGCTTTCTTTGTTGTTTAGTAAATTTTCATTTGGGCAACCTAACTCTGTTTTAGCTGTCCTTAGGTATTTAAGGAATCATAATTTGTTCCTAGCTGTCAAACTTTCCATAAAGCCACAGAGAAACTGTCCCTTACGGTGGTAACCTCAAAGGGCAGTAATTAGTAAAATAGCCCCCAGGAGGCAAAGGAATCTCAAGGTGAGATTCAGAGCTGTATAGTCCACAGCAACTTATTCTCCTCGTGATACTGTGGGTTGGGGGCTGCCAGCTGTCTATCAAGATGTTTTTCCCTTCCCAGTAATAAAGTTACATCCAGGAAGTAGCCATTCAGGGATCTTTGCAGTCACAATGTGGCAAGTTCCCAGTGTTTGGCAAGTACATGGTAGCTTGAGTAGTGTTCTATTCGACTTGAGGATGCTCTTCTGCCAGCTCAGCACAGGAGAAACTGGTGCCGGAGCCTCAGGACAGACAGAGATGGGGTTATGAGTCCATCAGAGCTGAGCAGGCTTCTAACCTGGAATGACCCTCAGAAGGACAAGCAATGGGTGTCTATGGTTTCCCACGGATATGGTTGTGGGTTTACTTGTTATTATTACAGTTGTAACCACCTTTTCATGGATTCTGCAATAATAACAGCGATATGGATCAAAGAAGCAGGCTAAAGATACAAACGACTTGCAGCTAGTTGGAAGTTGGGGCAGACATCGTGTAGCACAGTCTTAAGTTTTAGCATTTCAGGTAATTATACATCCTGATGGGAATCAACTGAAAATTAAAAGAGGCAAGTAGTTTTCAAAATTCTGGCTTTTTTTTTTCTTGGAAGCAACAATACAGGGCATAGACTATAATGTTAAAGATTGTGGACATACAAGACCTAAGATCATCTCAAAATAATGAGGTTAGAAATGAACAAAAATGTTTCCTTGATTGCATCTGCTGAAACCTCCAGTCAGTCAGCTCCCTGGTAGAAAGGAGATGGACGCCATATTGAGGGAGGAGTATTGCTTATAATTTACCCTGTGTGTTCAGTTGATGTCATACTAGCCAAGGTCCTGCAATCATAATTAAATCTAAGATTCTCATATCTAGAGAGGGTCTGCTGATCAATTAATTATCGATCATGAAGCTCAGGCAGATGTTATAATCAAAACACTTGGGAAAGAGACAGGATTTGGGAGAGATTCTAGCTTCGCGAGTTAATGTAATTTCTTGACTTTCTCTAGGGCTCCATTTTCTTATTTTTAAAATGAAAATATGGGTATAAAATAAGATACTGCAAATTGCTTTACATGGTGCCTGGAACAGATAGGTCACCAATCGTAGATATCAATAGTAGCTTGAAACATTAAACCGGTGCTTTAAGTATTTGAACCTTTGGAAGCTGGATGTGGTGGGACACACCTATATTATTAGTACTCATTAGGCAAAGGTACATTTAAGGCAACTCTGATGTACACAGCAAGGCCTTGTCTCAACAGAAAGAAGCAAACCCTATCTATATATCCATATATTTGAAGAGATGCTTAGGAATCTTTGTAGATGTAGTTACTCACTAAAGGTTGGCTGTAGTTTGTTGATAGATTGCATATGATGCTCGGCTCAAAAACAAAAGAAACAAAAACAAACATTGAATGGAAAGTTCCCTCTCTTGACTATGTTACGCATTTACACGAATGTGGTAATGTCTCATTAATTATCCAATTACTCTGTCTGAAGAGGACATAACTATTTATAAGCAAACTTGGCCTATGTCTAAAAACACGACAAACATGCACGGAGTCACAAACATATCTGCCTCTACTTCAGCCACTGCTGCCTCTTGAAAGCACCCCCCCCCCAGCGTGCACGCCAGCCTTCTAATTATCTTATCCGCTCTCCACAGCGTGCGCACCACCAAATCTTGACAAGGTCAAGGTAAATCTTTTGAAAACTCAAATACAAAGTGGTCTATGCTGTCCGCTAGCAATTTGTTCTCACAAAACAAGTAACCTCGTCCTTGTCTTCTTTCCCTGAAGCCACGCTACTATGTTATTCTACAATGTAGTTATTTTGTTTCAGTGTGTAACTTTTCTCTACCTTACAACAAGCTTATTCTGATTTTTTTTTCCTCTTTAAAAACTCATTTAGACCAGAGCTAGTTCCAGGACAGGCTCCAGAGCCACAGAGAAACCCTGTCTCGAAAAACCAAGAAAAAAAAAAAAAAACTCATTTAGAGTCAGATGCTGTGCTGCACACCTTTAATCCTGGCACTCTGGAGACTTGAGCCAGGATGACTGCCAATGAAGGACCTAGGCGAGCCTGGGCAATATATAGTAAATATATATAGTAAATTCCAGAAACACCTGGTCAGTGTGAGGCCCCTTCTCAATGTCCCATCCAAGTGGGTATCAGGGGAGGAGAAAGGAACATATTTAAAAGGACTCAAATTTTACATCCTTTTTTTAAAATGCCTGTTTTTCCAGTGTGTATGTAGTTCAATAGACAGAGAGCATGTGTCCAGGTTATCTCATTTTTCTTTGAGGCAATAGTGAAGACGTTAATTCACAACTGCATTTCTATGAGTTTCATTTATATGTGATGGGTGCTAAATATTTATTTATCTTTCAGTTTGAAGTATTTTCCCCAGGTGATGAGAAGTAAAATGTTCATTTCATTAATATTAGTTAAAATAGATCATTTCGATAGAAAATAAAGTTTGAAATTCAAATTAGGGAGGTGGTATAGACATTTGACTCCTTGGAACTGCCAGATGAAACAGTAGTGGGGGGAGGGGAAGCCTTATGGGGCAGGGAGCCCCGACCCAGACGCAATGGGAATGGAAGACGGAGAGGCAGAAGAGAGAAAGGCAGCCTCAGACTGAGATTGGTCAAGCTTCACATCGTTTCTTTCTTTTTAGCAATCTGGCAAAATAACATTGCAAGGATTCGAACCACCAGAACATCCGTCCTTTTCTCCCTTCCTAAAAAAAAAAAAAAAAAGTCTCTCCCGGCCACTCCAGGAAGAGCATTTAAAAGCACGCGACCGGGGATGCGAAACTGAGCTTCCCTGCACCAGGCAGGACCTCCCCTCTGTGTCTTGCGTGGCTCTTCCCAGCTCAGCCAGGGAACCCAGACAAGTTTATTTACACACCCCCCCGCCCAGCGTGCACAAACACACCCGCAGAGAGCGAGGGCGCGAGGGGCGGGAACGCCCTCTTTTCCATCCCTTCCAAACAATTATCTGCCAGAGGAAAAAAAAAAAAAAAAAAAAAANAAAAAAAAAAAAAAAAAAAAAAAAAAAAAAGCAAATCCTCCGCCGCGCCGGGTGCTGGCGGGCGGGCCGGGAAACGTGGCCGCGCCGGCGAGCTGGGGATTTGTGAAAAGGAGCGCTGGCCCGCGTGCGCCTCTTGTTCCCCGTGTAATTTGCAGCCAATCATCGGGAGGTGTCCGCGGCCTGCGTCCTGCTCACCTCGGCGCCGCGGCCCGCCCCCGCCCCCGGCTCCGCACCGCCTCCCTCGCCTTTCTCTGCGATCCCCTCCCCCAGCCACCGCACACACACGCACACACACAAACACAGCGAGGGGGGGGAGGGTGAGAAAGAGAGAGAGAGAGAGGGAGAGAGACTCCCCGGCTCCCTCCCTCCCTCGCACACAGCGACTGGAGACGGACCCGGAGCAACGCGCTGGGAAGAGCAGAGACCACCGACAACAGCCCCGCGCTCTCCCACACACGCTCACACTCGGCGCTTTCCTCTCCACCCCCACCTCCTCCTCCTTCCACCCCCTCCACTAACACCATCTCCTCCTCCTCTCTGCAACAAGAAAAAAAAGCCATTTACAGGTATTTTTTTTCATCCGCATATTTATTTACCCCACCCCCCCATTCCCAACAGTTTGTTTACAAGTATTAAAGTTGTAATTGGGAGCTGCCAAGACACATCTGGATTTGTGTTTCTTTGTGTTAGGGGGTGATGTGCAACTAATTAAAGGCAGACTGGCAGCGTCTGCAAATTCTAAGGCTCCCCAAATAAAAAGAGACTGGTAAGTGATTGTTCTTTCTCTTCCTCTGGCTTTTCCCCCCTCTCTCTTTCTCTCTTAAATGTTTGCTGTCCGGTGGGATTGTAAAAGTAGATTAATGCTGGACTTCAGCAATAAAAACCCGTGACTGTATTAATTAATTAATTAATTTGCACCCGCCCCTCCTCCTGAATGTTAAATATGACCTTTGATCTCCGTGTCTCTGGTAGACCAGACATACAGTATTAGCCATGTACAGTCACATTGTTCAGGGGCAAAGCAGGATCATGAAGTATGGATGTTTAATTTAGCTTTAGGATTAGAACTATAGTTATTGGTGTGTGTTTTATTTTGTTGCTAAATAAAAGCCAAACAATAGCTGTGGCTTAGATACCTTTTTCATGCTCCAGGGATGCATTGATTAAACAATAATGACCTGGATACTAGGCACAATCATTTTCTACAGTTTCTGGTGGCATTGAACCTAGAGGTGGGAAGGGGGAAGGGGGTGGCAATCAGAGAAGCAAGGAGAGCTTGTTTGGAAACACCATACTAAGACTCTGAAAGGGGATATTAAATTCTTTCTTCATTTGGAACAAGGTCAAAAGACTAAAATGTTAAATTTCCCCTCTGCTCAGTGTGAGGATGCCTATTGCATGGCTGGCATAACTAGTTTCTAGTGAGTGGCAGTTATTATGGTTTTGCATTTTCAATGTGATTCACAGAAACTGAAGTTGTATGCATATTCTTGCTGTGTCTTCCCCCAAACCCTTGCAAGTATCAAGAATATTTAGCCAGGAGGATTTGGAGGCACCTTTGTATTGTCATCAGACCTCTGAAGGAAGCAGTATTCCCTCTTGTGAAACCACAGAGGTGGTTCCTGAGTGATTAGGGACTTGCTGTGATTGAAGGAAGCCTGCTAGCTTCTAATCCAGCCTGGGGGAGGTTCCTTATCTTGATTTACTTTGCCTAATAGGGATTTGTTTACAGGAACCCATTTATTTTTAGGGTGCCTCATCAGTCGGTCTTGAAGTTTTCACACTTGGAGTTTGGACATAAATGGTTCATTAATCTAATTATAAGCGTAATTGCTATAATTGATATGCATTTGAAACTCTGAAAATTTCAGACAGACACTACTAGGCCTTCAGTTAAATTCCTGAACTCCACCTTCTAGCCCAATCTATAGGTTTCAGAAGATGCCATAGAAAGGTTCTCTGGCAAAAAGAAAAAAAGGGGGGGGGGAGGACAAAGAAACTGGTGGTTTGTTTTCTTTTTTCAGGTGAATATACATTTTACATCTCTGCTTTAATTCTTAAATGGCTGCGGGATATCTCTCCTCCTTAATTAGCAACCAAAATACATCTTCCCAAAGCTTAATGATGGCCTGTAAGCAGGGAGAGACGCAGATACCAGGTTTACATTGAACTTTCCTCATAGGAAAAAAACCATAGCAATAGGAGGAAAAAAAAATCATCTTACTGGTTCTTTGGGTAAACACCACCTAATGGGAATCTCCTTCCCTTTCACTCTATGCAAAAATCAGTGTTGGTGAAAGATTATTTTGCGTCCCTTGCCTTCCTCTTTTCTTGGGAAGAGACAGCAATCTCCGTTAGAAATGATGGGGGGTATTCTTACAGGAGCAGCAGACACTTAGTTCTGAGCCTGTGACATTGCTTGCATTTGAGACCTCTCTCTCTCTCTCTCTCTCTCTANATCCATCTTTCTCTTTCTCCTTTCTTTTAAACAAGTAATACACCACCCTCTTGCCCCTGCCAAGCCCCACCACCAAATGGCTTGTACAATTGAGACCTGTCCTTGGTCCATTGAATTAAGACCCTAACAGAGCCAGCTGTGCTGGGATTCAAACTAATGACCACAGACACAGAAGGACACTGTGGCAGCTGGTAGTTCTTCCCCCCCCCCCCACTGCCTCTTTAGTTCAGATTGTATGTGGGCAGCCTTGTAGCTCTCAGTTGTATTGTGTTTGCTTACAGTTTATGCTCGGATGTATTGTAGAGTTTCTCAGTACTTCATTTGCTAATTTCCTGTGCGTTTTCCTCATAGGGCCATTGCTGTTTTCTACTTTACAGCATTTGCATGCCCAGGCAGCACTTGTTCACACATTTCATAATGTTTAAATGCCCTCTGCTTATAGGTAGTATCGCCCGCCCTCCCACCCCTGATTTGCATGTCTTTAGCACTCCAATTGCCCTTTTCCCTCGGCGTTTGTCACCCCCGTCTTTCCTCTTTCCCTGGGTACTCTAGCTATTAATACATTTTTTCTCAGGAGGGTTACAAGAATAGGGGGTGGGGGAGGAGCTGTGTGGTGTGCTGTGGGGAGGGAGGGAACAGGGGTTGGGAGTGTTAGGGGGTGTGTGTGGGGGTCACGTCTTGGTGATTGTTATGCAAACGACCCGACTTGAGAACGTGGGAGCTTTCTGTGGTGTCTGCAGTGGGCTAGCGAGGGTGGCTGTTTATTTATATTTAATTTTTTCTCCTCGTGCAGCTCGTTGGAATGACTTTCTTTATTTTAGTTGTAACAGTTGGAGGATAATGCAAAGGAAGACGCTGCCTGGGAATTCACCGTCTGTGGACATGCGCCCCAGAGAGGACTAAAGCAGCCCTCACCTTGCTCTCCCCACCCGGATCCCCCTTTCCTGCCCGGCCCGGCCGGTACCCCGACTCCACCATCACCCGCTTCCCTCCCCCCCACCTCTCCCCCTTTCCCACCCAGGTGTCGGACCAGGCGGTCCCCACTTCCACCCTGCACCCCTTCTTCCCCCCCTGCACCATGAACACCAATGTCTGCGTGGAGCCCGGGCCAAGCCCGGAGGCCCCGGGCTTGCCCAAGGAAAGCCACCTGCCCGAGGGGGCCCTGAACAGCTTTGTGGATTACAACTCGGAGATGGAGCGTTACCGCTCCTTTGCCACCTCCTTCTACAAGACCAACGGGGGCGCCTTCCCGCAGGCTGCCAAGATCGCGCGCATCACCACCCCCATCTTCCCCAGCAGCGCCGCCGCCGCTGCGGCCGCCGCGCGCATTGGCATGTCCCCGTGGAACTGCGACAACGCGGCCACCGCCGCCGCCACCGCGATGCTCTGGGGCAGCGGAGGCGGCGGCGGGGGCGGCGGGGGCGGGGGTGGGGGCGGCGGGGCCGGCAGGAAATCCTCCTCGGCCGCCGCCTCCTCCTCCGCCTCCTCCTCGGCAATCCTCCCCACCGCCGGCGGTGGCGGCGGCGGCGGTGGTGGTGGTGGCGGCGGTGGCGGCGGCGGCAGGACCAGCATGCACCACCGGAACGACTCCCAGCGGCTGGGGAAGGCTGGCTGTCCGCCAGAGCCGTCGTTGCAAATGGCAAATACTAATTTCCTCTCCACCTTATCCCCCGAACACTGCAGACCTTTGGCGGGGGAATGCATGAACAAGCTCAAATGCGGCGCTGCTGAAGCAGAGATAATGAATCTCCCCGAGCGGGTGGGGACTTTTTCCGCTATCCCGGCTTTAGGGGGCATCTCATTACCTCCAGGGGTCATCGTCATGACAGCCCTTCACTCCCCCGCAGCAGCCTCAGCAGCCGTCACAGACAGTGCGTTTCAAATTGCCAATCTGGCAGACTGCCCGCAGAATCATTCCTCCTCCTCCTCGTCCTCCTCGGGGGGAGCTGGCGGAGCCAACCCGGCCAAGAAGAAGAGGAAAAGGTGTGGGGTCTGCGTGCCCTGCAAGAGGCTCATCAACTGCGGCGTCTGCAGCAGTTGCAGGAACCGCAAAACGGGACACCAGATCTGCAAATTTAGAAAATGTGAAGAGCTAAAGAAAAAACCTGGCACTTCGCTAGAGGTCAGAGGAGATGATTTCTTGTTTCCCAGTCTTGCCCCCTCCCTCCTCACCCCCTTCTCCTCTCCCCCACAGGGTTTCTTGTCTGGCTTCAAGACGCAGCATGCCCTTTTCTGAAGCTTCTTGCAGGTTGTAACACACTGTCATAGGTGGTTTGCAGAGGGCATGGCCTCTACACCACCCTCCCAGCTGCACCTCACCCGGAACCACCTTTCTGCTAGAGGGTGCCCCTCCTTTCTTATCTCTGGAAAAAAAGCAATTGGCCTAGGAAACCCAAGTTTTACATTTGAGTATGGTTAATATTTTTCCCTTGCTGGTTTAAACTGTGCTCTCAGGACAATAGCTCAGCCCCCAAAATTGAACATATCCATCATAAATATATATACGGCTAAAAAAAAAAAAAGACTCACCAGAGACCCAGTTCTAACACTACATTTGTGGTACACAATCTACATTATACACATACATGTGTGCATATACCATGTATCATACGTATGTGTGTGTGCTGCAATGCTTGGACTCAAAGGTTTTTTTTTTAAATTCTCTTCTAGAATAATTTTTCTCCTTAGCACGATAGAATGTTTTCGTTTGTTTTATTTTTTGCCTTCTTGATATATTTTTAAGCAAGCGTAAATCTTACAGAGAGCTGATAGTCACCAGCCATTTCGAGATGTTACTTTGAGTAAAGCAGAAGTTATTAACTATTGTGTTTAATAGGTGTTTGATTTTTAAAATATTTTATGTAGTTCCAGAAAAACTCTGTTGTTTTTCTTTCTTTTTTTTTGTCGTGGGTGTTATTGTTGTTTTATTTTTTACATTTCCCTGGGGTTCAATATCTAACAAAGTAATCTATATGTGGTTGCAAAATTTACTCTAAACATAGAGAGGTTTTGGTTGATACCATATATAGTAAAAAATAGTTTACTTTTCCTATAGGTTCTTAAAACAGACATTAATCGCTAAAGTAATGCTAAAGTTAGGGTTTTAATTACATCCCAAATTAAGAAGGGTGGAGGTGATGAACATTTTGTTTGATGTCCTAATCAAAACACAAAATGAAGAAATACAGAGTTACAGGTATATTGTTTTGGTGCCATATTAAGGAGGAAATATGGACAGGCAGCCACAGTCTATGATGAAACAGAGTAAGGTTAGCTCCTTGTGCATGTGGGAGACTGGGTGATCCATTTAGTGTTTGGGAAGGGACCTTGAACAGAGCACAGGTCGAGAGTGGCTGTCACATCTGTCCTGAGGAATACTTGCACATTCTTTTAAATATTAGGAACATGGTATAGGGATGTTTTCTTTGAATCATTCAGGATTGGAGTTCCAATGAATAAAGGAAAAAGTGAAAGATCTTGCTTCTGGTTTGACTACGAAGAAGATGGGTCATCTTGCTTTGCTGGGTACAAACCAAGGCCAAGGGACTGGGATTCCCAGAGTCAGAGAGAGCACCATGGCTGCAGTTGCACCACAATACTGCATGTATTTCCTTCTAGGAAGAAACCATGTTTTCTTGAAAACTTTAATTTCACCACAGGGTATTTCATTGTTCTTCCTCTGGGTAACTCTGGTCAATCAAAGATAACAGCAGCCACAGTGCAAGCTCATGCCTTTTCTCAGATGGCAAAAATTAACTCTTGAACTCTTTTCTGGGGGAGTTAATGTACGATGACTTCCCTAGGTCTGTAAGACCATGGAAAATTAAAATTGATCTTACGTTGTGGTTTCCTGCAAATGCCAGTGAATAGGTCTGTGTGGGTTCTGCTTTAAGTAGTATGTAGTGTTATAGTTCTGGCATTGGTAGGCCTCAGAGTGGAGAGGACCACTGAGTAATTCTGACTTATTTAGTTAGTGACCACTCCAGAGGAGTTTGCTATGAGAAAGAATAGGCTTTCAGACAAGTTTCTATGCTGGTGTGCTCATCTAAACAGGAACTTTAATTTTCCCCCCATGATTCCAGACATCACAGAATCATTTTTACCTTTGAAAATGAGCACTCACAGTAGTTGTGTGGTCCCTCAGAAGGTAGGGAGAGCTCGAGAGAGAATGCCCACTTCCCTCTACAGATGTTTTCCTGACTGAGGGTTCCTTCCTACCAGAGCATGGGCTGTGGTTCAAGGCCATGTTCATTAATGGAATACTGGGCAGAACGAAAGAAAAAAGTTTTCAAAGTAGCCTGAGTGTTTACCCAGATCATAAGGTAATACCGTGTGATTGCCTCAAACCCATATGCAACCTCAAGCTGCAGTTGTAGGAAGCTTCCAGGGCTGAGGCATAAAACAGCAGAACTTGAGTGGCTGAACCCAAGATGGAAAATCCCCTGCCCAACTGGTTTCCTGTCTCTAATCTGATCCATTATCATCTCAGGAGATGTTTTTGAGGAGGGGTGGACTTCTGTTTGAAGTTCTGGACCTGGAACTTAGTAGCTAATGCCTGTGGCTTTAACTTATGGACACTTGCAGAGTTAAGATCTGCATACTGAACACAGCTCAGCTTCTTACTCAGCACTCCAAGCCTGTGTGCTCTCCTTCTCTTTGAGCTGTTCTTATCTCAGACACTGAAAGCATAGTCATGTTGCTTTCAGGCTGTGTAAAACAAGTTGAAGAAAGATTCACATGGATATGCTGGGATTTGAGCCCACATTTTCTTCAGCCCCCTTCACTAGCCTCCCTTAAACATAACCTATCCCTGCTTAGTCCCATTTTAAGAGTGACTTATGTTTATAAAAACCGCTGCTTGTTGACATTCAGGATGGCAGTACCCATTTAATAGTGACTGCTGGATGTTTTGTGGCCTGCATATTTGCATATGTCACTGCTCGTTCATCGATCATTATATTAACAAATAGCCACTAATTGTTGAAAGCAGTTGATACAAATGTGTTGTGCTCCTGTGGGACAAAATTTATTTTAAAAATGTATGTCCTTAATTAATATTAAGTTCCTAGATGTATTTAGAATTGGACCATGTAGGCAATTACTACGATATTAAGTTAATTCTTTATCTTACAAAGGTAATCCTTCAGACTGTACACAGAAAACAGTTATTTTTCTGATACAAAGATTTAACTTTTTTTTAAAATATCCCAATCTAATGTAACTCAGGGAATAAAGTTGTCCCATGGGCAAGCCAGGCCTCTTAGTCTCTGAACATTGTTCAGGTGACATGATTGATCTCTGTGGGACAGCATTAGAGACCACACAGATCTGGTTTCTCTCCCATTAGTTGATTTATGGAATTACATTAGTGGAGCTGTGCCTCTGGGGGTTGCCCTGCCCCCACGCCTGCTCCTCCTGCTGCCACTTTACAGAGAAGAGGTTGAAACACTGGAGAATCAGGGGCAAGGGTGTTTGTTTATTTTCCTTTCTTTCTCTTTTCTCCCATTTAAAAAAAAAAAAGTGTGTTGGTGTACAGAACCACAATAATGTTTCTAGAAGCCAGCTCGAGATTCTAAGGGATTTGATGACAAACACCCTGATATTATCTAGTAAAGCTAGATAACTTTATTTAGAACAGTGTTCCAGAAGGGGAGAGACATACTAGATAAGATTTTAAGTTCTAAGGGCCTCAACCAATGGCAGTTGTGGCATTCTGGATAAAACATGGCTGTAATTTGTGCAGAGTGATGGCACCTTCCTGCTAAGGAAATTCATTTGTAGCCCACATCTAAAGTAGGGGAAATCAGCAAATACCATTTCATAAAGTTTTGAAGTTAAGTGGGTTTTTAAATACATAGATATGCATAGATAAAACATTAACCCTTCATATTTTAAATTGAAACATTTTTCAATTTGTGACCTCATGTAATAATTTCAAAATGAGGTTTCAGTTAAGAATTAAAAGATGCTAGTAGGAAATATTTTTAATACAAAGATGCAATATACATTGGCTATAGGAAGGAAAATGAAAAAGTTTCAATAAAAACCAGATAGGATGACAAATGTTTTTTTTTGTTACATTAGAATGTAACAATCAGGTATTCTATGGAGAAGATCCAAAATCGATGAATGATAGGACAATAGCTCAGAAAAGTTCAGTTTTGACCAAAGCCACAAGATACCTTTATCATGGCGGCACTGAACTACCCAGTGGACTTCTCTGCCCATTACTAGATTCCAAAGGAGTTTCAGACTGTTTTTATGTTTTGGGTACAAAAGAACTCTTTTTGTACATAGTAAATCCGTACAACTTTCTGTCGGTTAAAAATAGTTGCTTATGAAAATGGGATTGTATTGCTTCCTAAATGAGACTAATACTTTGATCCATCTAAACAGCATGGAGGAATCTAAGCAGTATTTTATGTGGTAATTAGAAGTAGTGAAGAAGGATGGGGAAAAAGCCATTTATAGACTGTGCTGTACAGAGAATATATTTTGAAACTTAGGCATCATCAAACAAAAAATAAACATTCAGAAAAACAATGAGAAAAACCTTAAATAACATTGAACTTTAGGCTTCGCCCTGATCACAGAAAGCTATTGGATGATGAAGGGGATGTTTATTAGTGAGGAAGGCAGCAAAGGTGACTTGACTTGGGAAGTTTTAATGACTTCGTTATTGAATCGCTCTTCCGTGCACCCATCTGCTTTTATTTTGGATGGTGTGGCAGAGATTCTCACAGTCCAGACTTACAGAGCGGTGTAGAACGGTTTGGGCAAGTGATCTGTGAGACTGAATGTTTAAAAATTCTGCAGAAAGTAGATGTCCGCCATGGTTTCTCTGAGTGGAACATTGTTTACCATTGGAAACAGGAGACGGGAGTTTTTGCTCTGAGCCCTTGAAAATGAAATCTTGTTGGGATGTTCATTTTGGATACAAAGTTAAAGATTTATGTATTTTAATATTTCCCAGGAATAGGCGCAAATGTGTTTTTTTCTTTTTATTGATTTTTATTGAGCTCTACATATTTCTCTGCTCCCCTCCCTGCCTCTCCCCTCCCCCTTAATCCTCTCCCAAGGTCCCCAAGCTTTTTAGTACTTGCAGGTTCTCTTAAAATCTAT